CTAATGGAATACAGGCCAATATTAGAGAATTTACGGTAGTGATGGTTCTGGAATCTGAGAGGGAATCCTCAATACCAGAGAACCCACATCCTATCGGGATTTAAACCCAAGACCTCCTCGCTGTAGTTAAGGAACGAGGGGATCACCTGTCCCTCCCTGTGGCCCTGAAACCGTAAAACCTGATCTACCTGATGTCAGTCATTCAATTAGTCTTTTCTAAGGGTTTGGATCTTCTGCTGATGGTTTCATCAAAGATGAGACACTTTTCCAGTATTTGGTTCAGAAACACAAACCCAAACCAGCAGAACAACTCAGAGGTGGTCCAGTAAGTCTGATGATGTACAGAACTGTGCAGAGGTTTCAGAACCTGCAGTGAACCTTAACAGTAATGTGGAATTCTTCTACATTGATTTACACAGATTTTAATATGGAAATACTCCAAATTAATAAAAACAGTCTTCAAATGATGATTTGTAAAATAAAACTCTCAAAACCCTCAACGGCTACGTTCACATAGCAGTCTGAAGTGGCCCAAATCAGATATTTATTTTTTCCACCATGTGACCTGTATCTGATCTTTTCATCACAGTCTGAGCAACACAGATCTGATTTTTTTCCTAGTGTGACCCAGACCAGTTGGATGTGTGGTCCTGAATCCGATACGTATCTGATCTTTTGCAATGCGATCTGCGCCTGAAAGGCCAGGTCACATTTAGCCAACATGAACGTCATTAATACTCAACAAACATCCCTTTTCTGCATCTTGCTTTGCAGAAGTGGGAAGAAAAGCAGCAACCATGGCGGACGATGATACGGAGAGCAGTTTTTATTTTCAACCTTTTTGAAAATATTGCATTGTTAATGCACTGGCTGAGGTTGGGAAAGAAATGAAGGATTGTAAGATGTGCGTCAGCACTACCATCCAGGTTTTACTGACGTAAATACAGGGCACGCTCGCTTGTGACGTCATTGCTTCCTCTACTGCACAGGCGGAACACTTGAGTTATATGACTACAGTTCACACAGGAGATCACATATAAGTCAAATATATTTAGAAATGTGAACAACCACGCAAAAAGGATCGTATTTCACAAAAAAATTGGAATTGAGCTTTAAGCCCTGCAGTGTGAACGTAGCCTAAAAGCCCAAAATTGTAGGTGAGCGCAGACAGGAGGCCTCTGATTGGTCAAATCTACATCCGCTCTACACTATGCGTATTTCCTGTTTGGTACTTCACCGGCTTGTTTTGTTTGTATGACCGCCATTGTGGAAAACGACTCGTAAAGATGGACCAGCTAGAAGAGCGAGGTGCGCGAGAACGCTGGGGTCGTTTTTCCACCTGGATCCCCGCTCTTTTTCACCCTCATGTCCCTCCATTGTTGCACAAACTTGCCCCCACTTCCTCACCGCCTCGGCCGTATCTAGACCCACTGCTAGTTCCTGATTGGCCCACTTGCGTTGTGGCGTGGAATAACATAGCGCAGACCATGCTTCTATATTGGGCAGAAACCAAAAATATCTGCGACACGTTCACTGCGACACACTGCTGCTGGAGGATAACCAACCCTTAATGAATCACCAGCCAGCCCTGATGGGCCCGTAATCCCTGACACGGTACCATTCTAACAACAGGAAGTAGGGTAAAAAAAAGTCAGGAACAGATGGGAAGTAATCTGTGCCATAGCGGCTACAGAAACCGCTTCATTTTGGCCTTGATCTAAAAGAATTGACTCGAAGAATAAGATACAAAGTTTTTCTAAGTAATTAATGACCTGCTACATTTGTTATTTTGGGTTCTAGTCTTTGTTTGTTTGTTAGAAAAGGCATCCATCTTTATTCACAATAACAAGAGGATGGTAAGCATGTGTGCAGGGATAAAGATGGAAGTAGCCCACTGAGACTAAGCCTGTTAGCAGCTCCTAGAAAAGGGATAAGAGTGGAACAACACTGGGAAGCCAGTAAGAATGTGAGGAACGGGAATGTTCCTTGTTCTTGATGTTCTGATAGGAGGTTCTGTGACTGGTTGAGCAGAACTTAGAGCTGCTGTAGAATGAAGAACCAAGACATCAGCCGTCTAAAGAACTAAAGGCAGTTGGAGCCCAGATTCTGTCCATTAGCTGCGTCTGACTGGAGGTGTCGCTACCTTCTCTGGTGCTTCGGCGGCCATTTTGTTCTCTGTATAGGTGCCCATACCGGAGGAGCTGCTGCCTAGCAACGGCTCCACCCCTTGTTGAGCAATTGGCTGCGAATAAGGGCCCTCAGTTATTCTAACTAAAGCAGCCTTTATTCGATCGATCATAAAATCCGTTTGTCAAATTTTCTCAAACTGTGTCTTTAACTTATAAAACAATCACTATGAAACATTTTCTTAACCAGAAAATAGATTTGGGTTTTTGTTCCTTTATGAATAGAATAATCATTTCAAAACTATTTAGTTGTTCGGTTTGTTTGTCTTTGGTGTAAAAAGTTTTTGGATCATGTTAAGTGTTTTATGGGGAAAAAAAGGTTTGTTAACCTTGAACCGGAAAGTTAATCTGAGGAACTCAATAAATCCGTTGATCTTTGAAGATTCAGGGCCGGTTCTGATCCGGTCTGAAAGCTCTGCACGGTTCTGTAGCTTGTTTGGGTCCTTATAACCGAGATCCGCTGCGGTAACTTCTGCCTAACTTTCCAGGCCTTTCTGAGCACCGCCCCGCCTCTCCGTCCATCATGGACACGTTTTTCCGTCGCCACTTCAGGAGGAAGGATGCGGCCCTGCAGGTGGACGCCGAAGCCGCCGCCTGCCGCCAGCGGAGGCCCAGCGTGGCCGTCCCCACCAGTAAGGCCCGGCGCAGGTCCAGCGTGGGCCTTCCGTCCTCGGCCTTGACGCAGCGCCGCCGCTCCACTATCCAACAGCCGGTTCTGTCAGGCGCAGGGGGGGGCCGCCTGTCAGAGATTCCTAAACATGGAAGAAAGGGGCACACCCGCCGACGCTCCAGTACCACCACGCCCAGCATGAACCCGAGGTTCGCCGTGAGCCGGAAGAAAGTAGGGAAGCTGCGGACCATTGACGCCCACCTGCTGGGGCCGTCCATGCTGCTGGCCAGCCTCATCCAGATGGCTGAGGAGGAGGAGGAGGGGGAGGAAGGGCTTCCAGCAGGTGAGCAGCAGGTGGAGGTGAGGGGCGGAGTCAGCAGCGGACGGACGCTTTCCCGCTCCAGCAGCCTCCAATCAGACAGCAGCAGCTGCTCGAGTCGCAGCCAGTCAGAAAGCAGCCTGCTGTCTGAGGAAGAGGAGGATGAAGCCCCCTCCCTCTCTACCTCCACCCTGGAGATGACGAGGAAGTCCCCTGATATGCCGGCTCCTTCGCGGCCCTTGATCCGGGCCCCACGTTGCCTGCGCAGGAACTCCTCTCAGGTGTTCGCCGGAGACTCCTCCCCCTTCGCCTGTTACCGCGGCGCCCACCAGGGCAAGAGGAGGAGGATCTCCACCTTCTCCAAGGCCGGGAGCCCCTGGCCTGGCAGGGGCCATCAGCTGCCCAACCGCAAGAGCTCCGTCTACTACCTCAACCATCCAGCCTTCTGCAGGGGCCCCGGGCCCCTCAGCCCCTTAGGGCCCCATGGCTACGACTCCCACTTGGAAAATCTGAGTGCCTTCCTGCTGTACGTAACCCAGCTGCTGTCCGTTTGTGTTTGAAAATACCAGACTGGAAACCTGCAGAGCAGCTGGAAAAATTCCCAAATCCAGATTTTTAAAAATCTTGGTCAGATGAGCAGGAAGCTTTATTTCCTGCTTAGAAACCATAAACATTTTCTGCCAAAGCAACAATTTACATAAAAAATAAATCGATTTTTTATGTCAAAGACAGAAACCATCTTTTCACTCAGTCGACAAAATTACACACAAATATGATTCATGTTTTTTCTTATGTCAGACGTCTTCAGGCTTTAAAATGAGGCTAAAACAAATAATTGTTTATTGAAACAATTGTTTTATTAAGCCTCAGTCACACCTTGCCGATTTAGCCAGCGTATGCCCGACGTCACAGATTCTCCTAAAAGGCTGGCATACGCTGAACTTTTTATGTATTTTTTTAATTTCGGGCATGCACATAGCATATTCATAACAAGTCCAACTTATGTCCAACGTCAGCCTGACTTTTGCATAACGCACAGCAGCGTAAATATAAAAAAGATGTCTTTGATCGCGGTATTAAAGGTATACTATGCAACCGGTGTTGATTTTCCAGCGAGGCTCCCCCCAGAGGGCGAAAGTAAAAGTGC